GACACAGCCTCCCGGTGCAGCTGCACCGCGGGGCCGCCCCCTCCGCCCGACTCATCTTTGAGCGGCGGCGGCGGGGCCGGCACCAGAAACGGCTCCTTCTCCGCCGCCATCTCGATCATTTCCTCCCCTTAATTGCGTCCCAGTCGAGGGTACCGACGGGGGATCAGGGGCTTTAGCTCCCCGCTTCCTTCCTAAACCCTGTTCCCTCCCCACCCCCTCTCTCCCGAGTGCGCGCGCAGCTCCGCTCCGCTCGCTTCTCTCTCAAGTACCTACCCCCCTCCCCCCCTTCAAGCGCGTCCCACTCGCCCGCGAGACCAAAACAAGATGCCCGCGAGACCCGGACAAGCCGAGGACTCAACCGCGCGTGCGCCGACCCCTCTTTCTCCGCCACCACTACCTCTCCGTCGCGAGCGCGCACGGCCGGCGCGCGTTCCGCTCAGCCCGCAGCCACGCATGCGTACTCTGCCGCCACCCTGGCTGCGCGCGCATCGGAGTACGAGCCAACTTAACGGCTCCGGGAGTTTAAATATAGCCCCCCCATCTCAAACCCCCCCACCCCCAAGAAGCCCACCACCCCAAACGGACACCTACTTCCCTTCGCAGCTAGGTCCGGCCCTACTGATATCCTTTGTCTCGGCCGCACGTTCCCACCCACCGCTGGCGAGGGACGGGGAGCTGGTGTGAAAAGGTCTCCTTGACACCCGACCCTTGTTCCTGAGGAATGAGTCTCAGCGGTCTCCGCCCGGCTCTAAACCCAACAACCTCGTTACCCCGCCTCCTGCCTCCCCCTACTGGGCAGCGCCTGCGCACACCCTTTTAGGCTTGCGCGGGTAGATGCAGCACGTGTTGGAGATGATACCCCCGCCCTCCGTCCTAGGGGCGGGGACTGTGACGTCGTTTCCTCAGGTTAGATACACGCAGAGTGCGTCAGCAAGACCAGAGGGGCGTGGCCACACGGCGAAAGGGGCGGGCCTCATGAATTATTCATGAGGAGCGCACACTTCCTCCTCCTCCTCCCACCTACTTAGGAGCACTACTGAGAGAAGCGAAGACCCTTCACGTTGGGGAGAAGGAAGAGTTGAGACCAATCCACGAACTGTTCCGAGTAAAATGCGATAGGTCACTTAAACACACACCTCTCCGAGAATATTCTCTGCTGAACTGAAAAAAAAAAGAAAAAGCACTAAAGCAGCCGAGGCTGCCCAACTTCCTCTTCCTCCGAAATGGCCGAGTCGTTTTCTTGTTCCACCGCCTTCCCCAGTGTGCGATCACCTGGGCACGCCACGCCTCTTTCTCCACCTCCACGCCACGCCCCACGCCAGGCGCCTGCGCAGCAGACGTCTCCTGCCCCGCGGGGCCCTCTACGTCCACTGCCGAGGGCTGTACCTGCTGGGCCTTCCGAGTCCACACCGCTGCGGCCTTATACCCTAAATAAATAAATAAATCACATATGGGCAGGGAAAGGCATTCGGCCAGCTTTGGGTCCCTGCCTTAGTAAAAAGAAACAGGACTTGGCTGGTTTCCCCTGGATGATGAGTTGGAGGGTCTCCCTGCAACAGATTGGCTGAGAGGCGGTAGCGGCCAAAGTAGAGCTCAGGATAGTTTCGTAATATTAAAATAAGGGCGTGAAGAGGGCTACAAACAAGAATAGGAATTACGGCATGAAAAGAGTCAGGGAAAGGCAGTCGAGGACAGAAGGGTTGGAAAGATGTGTTACCAGAAACAATCAGGCACTGTCGCTGCCGCCTAATAAAAATGATGCCAGCGAGGATTGTGGGATTTGTAGTTCTCAGGACATTGGAAGATGGTGGAAATATTTTAGCCGCGCCAACGCCGAAGCGCCTACGATCTGCGCATGCGCCCTCGCACTGGTGGCACGGGGGTGGGGGGGGAGAAAGCATGCCGCTAGGGGGCGGAGCTTATTCGCGTCCTCGCGCCTTCGCCTAGTGGCGGGAAAAAGCAGGTCGAGGTTGCAGAGGTTTGTGGTATGGCTGCAATAACACGCGCTGCTCCTCGACCTTAAGTTCCGGGCTCCACTCAGAAGGTAGCTGACTTTTTTTTAAACCTCCCGCGGCAGACGAAAATAGTAGAGGCGACCAATCCCGGTACTTGACTGTGGGAAAAAACTTTCTTTTCAGAGGGATGACCAATATTTTACCTCAGAATCTCCAGCCACTCTACTCCACCTCACCCCACCTCCTTTCCCGCCCCCTCGGGCATCACCCCCAAACCAAAAAAAAAAACCCCGATAGTGTCTAGGCGGGAAATGATTATTAGAGCAGGGGGAAGAGGTTCCGAGTCCCTCAGCGGCTGCTCAGGGGAAACGGGGGTCCGGAGCCGCCATCCGTCCCCTGAGAGGGCCTCGGCTCCGGGTAGCTCCCATTTTCATGGCTGTCCTGAGGAGAAGTGGCTGAGGGGAGGAAGGGGGCTGGCTTGGGGGGGGTAGGTGAGCATTTTGTAGTTACTAAGCTTTGATTCCCCCACCCCCCCATTGCAGGGAGGGCGGAGTTTGGGGGTGACAGTGGCGGTGCATGGCGAGCATTTGTGGCCATATGGACGCCATATGGACGAGGGCAGCCAGGAGAGGAGGCAGCAGCTACTGGGTTCGGGCACAGAGTTTGGGGGAGGGCTCTTATACACCCCGAAGTGAGAAGAGGTAGTTTGTGAAGAGTGCGTGTGTATTCATGAGCGTTGGCAGAAGTTTTGTCCGCCTGGGCACTTCTGAGGGCGGTTGGGGTTTGTGGTGGGCAGAGTAGCTGGACTCTTATTTGAAAATCTATTTTGTAAAATGTATTGGGATTAAAAAAGAAAATATACATTTCGCTGTGCCAAGGGGTGGATTGCGTCCACGCAAAGAAATAAAACGCTAGTATTAGGCATGAAAATAAGTAGTTGTTTAGATATTAATGCTGAATGAATGAATTCCATCTTGGCCAGGCGCTGGTGGCTCACGCCTGTCATCCTAGCTACTCAGGAGGCTGAGCTCTGAGGATCGCGGTTCAAAGCCAGCCCGGGCAGGAAAGTCGGAAAGTTGGAGAGACTCCTATCTCCAATAAACCACTAGAAAACCGGAAGTGGTGCTGTAGAGCTGAGGGACGGCGCCCAGGCCCAGAGTTCAAGCCCCATGACCGACAAAAAAAAAAAAAAAAGAATTCCATCTAAAACGAGTCTTTTTTCTTTTTCCTTTCTCTCCCCCTCCCTCTCCCCTCTCCATTCCATCTCCTGCCCCCTCCCCTTTCCCTTCCATTTCCTGCCCCCTCCCTTCTCCCTCTCCCTTCCATTTCCTGCCCCCTCCCTTCTCCCTCTCCCTTCCATTTCCTGCTCTTTCCCTCTTCCCTCTCCCTTCCATTTCCTGCTCTTTCCCTCTTCCCTCTCCCTCCCATTTCCTGCCCCTCCCCTCTCCCTTCCATTTCCTGCCCTTTCCCCCTTCCCTCTATTTCCTGCCCTTCCTTTTTCCCTCCTCCTCCCTCTCCTTCCATTTTCCCTCCCCTTTCTCTCTCTCCTCTCTGTTTCCTGTCCCCACCTCTCTCCCTCCCTTTCCCTTCCATTTCCTGCTCCCTCCCCTCTCCTTTTCCCTCCCCTCTTCCTCCTCCTCCTCCTTCCCTTCCCTGCCTACTCCCTTCTCCCTCCCTCTCCCTTTCCATTCTTGTCCTTTCTCTTCCCTGCCTCCTCCCCCTTTCCCCTTCCATTTTTCTGCCCACTCCCCTCTTCCTCCTCCCCTCTCCTTTCTCTTCCCTTTCCCTTCCATTTCCTGCTTCCTCTCCTCCCCCTCCCCTCTCCTTTCTCTTCCCTTTCCCTTCCATTTCCTGCTTCCTCTCCTCCCCCTCCCCTCTCCTTTCTTTCCCTTCTGTTTTCTGCCCCCTCCCCTCTCCCTTCTCTCTCTCTACTCCTTCCTTTACCTTCAGTTTCCTGCCCCTCTCTTATCCCTCCTCCTCCTTTCTCACTCCCCCTCTTTCCTCTCTCTTCTTCCTTCTTCTGTTTCCTGCCACCTCCTCTCCATCCTTCCCTGTCTCCCGTCCCTCTCCCTCCATTCTTTCCTTCTCCTGCCCCCTTCCCCCTCCTCCTCCTTTTTTCCCTTCCCCTTAACTCCTCCCCATTCTTCCTCCCCTATCCCCTCAGTTTCTTGCCCCTCCCTTCTTCCCTTCTCCTTCCCTCCCCTCTCCCTCCCTTTCCCTTCTGTTTCCATTCCCCCACCCCTCTCCATCCCTCCCCTTCACCTCTTTTTTTCTCCCTCCTTCCCTTTTTCCCCTCCTCCCTCCCTTTCCCTTCCCCACCCCTCCCCTTTTCTCTCTCTCTCTCTTTTTCTGGTCCTGAGGCTTGAACTCAGGGACTGGGCTCTGTCTCTGAGCTTCTTTGTGCTCATGGTTAGCTCTCTAGCACTTTGAGCCATAATTGCACTTCTTATTTTCTGGTGGTTACCTGGAGATAAGAGTCATATGGACTTTCTTCCCTGGACTGGCTTTGAACCTCAATCTTCAAATATCCTGGGTAGCTAGGATTACAGGTGTGAGCCACTGGCTTAAACACGTATGTTGGATAGCCAAATATTATCTCATTCATTACTAGTTATTTTTTTTTTTTAAATTGGGGACTAAGTTTTATTTATTTATTTAGGGTCCAGTCATGGGGCCTGAACTCTGGGTCTGGGTGCTGTCCTTCAGCTCTTCAGCTCAAGGCTAGCTTTCTACCACTTGAGCCACAGCGCCACTTCCAGCTTTTTTTCTTTTTGCTTATGTGGTGCTGAGGAATCGAACCCAGGGCCTCATGCATGCAAAGCAAGCGCTCTACCACTGAGCCACCTTCCCAGCCCCTGTTACTAGTTTTTCATTTAGCTTTTTGTTCCTTAATATGACTCATAATTTAAATTAGTTTCATGTGGACTTTTCGTGATCTTTTTGGGGGGAATTTTTGATTCTAGAAGAACTGTTTGTTATATGTAGTTAGTAGTAGTTAATTCTTCTTGTAGTTAGTAATATAATATGTAGGTAATAATTATTCTTGTGCCAGGCCTGGGGCTTGAACCCAAGGCCTGGGCCCTGTCCCTGAGCTTTTTTGCTCAGGGGCACTCTACTACTTGTGCCACAGCTCCACTCCTAGCTTTGTTGGTACTTAACTGGAGATAGTCTCACGGACTTTCCTGCCCAGACTGGCTTTGCACTGTGACCCTCAGATCTCACCCTCCTGTGTAGCTAGGGCTACAGGGGTGAGTCACTGACACTCAGCTTTAGTATTCCTTTTACAGCCTAATTTTATTTACTTTCTATCTTCTGTTTAGGATTATGCTAAATAGACACATTTGCTTCCTGGTTCTCTAAATTTTCACTCTAGATTTTCAGGTTTCTCCCTGATGAAAATGAAGAGAAACTAATTCTCTTTCCTGTAAAGGAAAAGTCAGCTAGGCCATGGAGCTCCAACCTATAATCCTAGCTACTTGAGAGGTTTGAGTTTGAGTCCAGTATAAGAAAGGGATACTCATAGTGGCATGCACTTGGCATTTGGCAACATAGGAAAACACAAATAGGAGTATTGCAGTCCAGAGTGTGGGCTTCATGTGAGACCCAATATCAAATATCATTAGCCCCATAAGGGTCTTGTGGAGTGGCTCAAGTGATAGCCCATCTAGCAAGCGTGAGGCTGAGTTCAAAATCTAGTACCACCAAAAATAATACAGATGAAGGCAAATAGTTGTTTTAGAACAGCATGCCTGGGAAGTGGTGCTGTAGCTCAAATGGTAGAGTGATAGCCTTGAGCTGAAGAGCTGAGGAACAGCGCTCAGGCCCAGAGTTCAAGCCCCATGACTGACAAAAAAAAATAAATCCAATCTCTTAGCTGGGTGCCCGTGGCTCACCCCTGTAATCCTAGCTACTCAGGAGGCTGAGATCTGAGGATTGTGCGGTTCAAAGCCAGCCTGGGCGGGAAAGTTCATGAGACTCTTATCTCCAATAAACCGCTAGAAAACCGGAAGTGGTGCTGTGGCTCAAGCGGTAGAGCGCTTGCCTTGAGCTGAAGAGCACAAGGACAGCACCCAAGCCCAGAGTTCAAGCCCCATGACCGACCAAAAAAACCAAAAACCAAAAAACCAAAAAAATAGCATGCCTGAATTGCTCATATTTGTAGAAGAAATAGAAAAGAAAAATGTCAAAGGATGCTTCAGGGAATTGAGAGTTCTGGGTAGCCTTGACAAATTATTGAGGCCCTTTTTTAAAAAAGGGGGTGGGAATCTGGGTCTGGGATATAACTCAGTTAGAAGACCCCTAGTATGAATGAGACCCTGGTTTCAATTACTTAGTGGTGCCCTCAAATGAAAATATGGAAAGATAAGTTAAACATTTTGCATTTAGCTATGTTGGGGTCTTGGTAAGTTATTTCTCAGTACTCCTTCCCCCCCCCCCACTTAAAAAAAAAGGCAGGCCAGGCACTGATGGATTATGCCTGTAATCCTAGCTATTCAGAAAGCTAAGATCTGAGTATCACAGTTTGAAGCTAGCTTGGGCAGGAAAGTCCTTGAGAGTCTTATCTCTAATTAACTACCTAGAAACTAGAAGTGGAGCTTTGACTCAAAGTGGTAAGGTGCTAGCCTTGAGCAAAAAGAGCTCAGGAACAGCACCCAGGACATGAGGTCAAGCCCCACAACTAACCAAAAAAAACGTTTAAAATCACATTTCATCAGTTATGGAAGTTATTTTCTTGTTTTTCAACAGCAAAGAAAGTGGTTTCTTGGTGGAAAAATGGCAACATTGCAGAAAAACGATGGTGAGTGAAAATTGAGGGAGGTCTACTTGGTATATTTCATTTCTGCTTCTAAACAGCTCATCTTTCTCATCAAAGGGCATTTTAGATTACATATATTTTCTTTTCTTCCTCTTCCTCCTCCTCTTCCTTCTTCTTCTCCTTCTTCTCCTTCTTCTTTTTGGTTGGTCAGTCATGGGGCCTGAACTCAGGGCTTGGGCGCTGTCCCTTGGCTCTTCAGCTAAAGGCTAGCGCTCTACTACTTGAGCCACAATGCCACTTCTGGCTTTTTCTGCTTGTGTGATGCTGAGGAATCGAACCCAGGGCCTCATGCATGCAAGGCAAGTGCTCTACCACTGAGCCATCTTCCCAGCCTCCAGATTATTATTCTGCTAGATGTTTTGAGCAAAACAAATACAGTTTAGAAACAACCCTGCTCAAGAAATATATGAACTCATGGAAAGGAAAAAAGACACTTAAAATTTTATGGCAGCTGGGTGCTGGTGGCTCATGCCTGTAATCCTTAAGAGGCTGAGATCTGAGGATACCAGTTCAAAGCCAGCCCAGGCAGGAAAGTCGGTGAGACTCATCTCCAATTCACCACCAGAAACCAGAAGTGGTGTTGTAAGCTCAAGTGGTAGAGTGCTTACCTTGAGCTGAAGAGCTCAGGGACAGCGCTTAGGCCCAGAGTTCAAGCCCCACAACCAACAATAAAATAAATAAAACAAAATAAATTATAGCATAGGGCATACCTATAATCCTAGGTACTCAGGTGGCTGAGATTTGAGGATTGCAGTTGGAAGCCAGCCTTGCAAGGAAAAGTAAGGCTCTTATCTCCAAGAAACTACTCAGAAAAAGTCAGAACTGTAGCTGAAGTGGTAGAGTGCTAGCCTTGAGCACAAAGAAGCTCAAGGACAGTGCCCAAGTCCTGAGTTCAAGCCACAGGACTGGAAAAAAAAAGGTTATATAAAGTTAAATGTGGTAAAGACCACCAGAAAGGTTTTAAGTATTATGGAAGCTCAGAAGAAAGAGATATTAGATATATCTAGGAAAAACTTACAATGTTTTTCTTTATAGAGGAAGTGGGTTATGAGTGATTTGTAGGTTTTGAATAATTCTAAGCTAATTTCTGATAAAATTTTAATCCAGAGATAAAGCAAATTAAAAAATTTCACACTTGAATAATTCACCTGTTACTTTCTTGTATTTATCAAACGTAGTCTATCAGAATCAACTAGTCTTAAAGAGCTACAGATTTTTCAACTTCACTCTGAACTATTTTATCATATTGCAGTGTTAGGGAAGTGGATGGTGATACACAGGGAGAGGCCTATGAATCTGAATTTAAGAGCTCTGAAATGGTGTTTGGTAATCTATTGTTATGCTGTGTTTCATTTGTTCGAATTTCTTTTCAGAATGTGGAAAGGGTTCAAAGAAAAGTTTTGTTCCACCTACACAGAAATTGCATATGATACCTCAAGGTCCTAATTCACCCCAGGAGCATATGACACTAGAAATGGGACCCTCAGACGCAATAGCTGAGCCAGTCAGGCTCAAGACCAAGTTAGAGAAGGAGGAGAAGGCAACCACAGAGAATGGGTCAAACAGTGGATGGGAGATAAAAGGCAAAGCTCAAGACAAGCCTATGGAAAAGAAAGAAAAGGTATGAGTCATAGTGATGGACTCTGGTTGGACAGTTCCTTTTATTCTGTTTCCCACCTATGCTAGACAAACTTTTTCTGATGGGAAATTCATTCTGCACTTTTAATAATTCTTCCTCCCTCTTTCCTCCTCCTTCCTTTTTGATGTGATATGAAAATTATACCCATGATCACTTCAGCATGCTATGTAAACAGTCTGCAACTGACCTGCACCCTGCTCCCCCATTTCTGTGTGCATGTGCACATACTGGGACTTGAACTCAGAGTCTCATGCTCTGTTTAGTTTTTTGCTCCAGGCTGGCACTGTGCTACTTGAGTCATGACTCCATTGCATTACTACTTCTTGAAAAAAGTTTTTTTTTTTGTTGGTTGTGGGGCTTGAACTCAGGGCCTCGGTGATCTCCCTGAGCCTCTTTGTGCTCAAGGCTGGCGCTCTCTTTTTGCTCAAGGCTAGTGCTCTACACTTGAGCCCACAACTCCACTTCCAGCTCTTTGGTGATTTATTGGAGATAAGAGTCCCATGGAATTTTCTTCCTGGGATGGCTTTGAACCATGATCCTCAGATTTTAACCTCTTGAGCAGCTAGGATTACAGGTGTGAGCCACTGGTCACCCTGCAAAAGTAGTTTATTTATTTTTTTGTTTTGAATTGTTGAGAGTTTTCCTACATTGCTTGGGCTAGCCTGGAACTTGGAATCTTTTTGCCTCAGCCTCCCAAGAAGCTGGGATTATAGTTGTGTACTACATTTAGTTTAGTTTAGATTTTTATTCCTTTCATTGGACATTCATTTTCTTCTCCAAAAGGGAAAATATTATTTATTTATTTTTGTTGGTTGTGGGGTTTGAACTCTGGGCCTGGGCACTGTCCCTGAGCTCATCACTTCAAGGCAAGCACTCTACCACCTGAGCCACAGCGCCACTTCCATTTTTCTAGTGGTAAATTGGAGATAAGAGTCTCATTGAGGGGCTGGGAAGGTGGCTCAGTGGTAGAGCTTGCCTTGCGTGCATAAGGCTCTGGGTTAGATTCCTCAGTACCACATAAACAGAAAAAGCCGGAAAAGGTGCTGTGGTTCAAGTAGTAGATCTCTAGCCTTGAGCTGAAAAGCTGAGGGACAGTGCCCACACCCAGAGTTCAGGCTCCACGGGGGGAAAAAAAAAGAGTCTCATCAACTTTGCTGCTTGGGCTGACTTTGAACCACGATCCTTAAATCTCAGCTTCCTAAGTAGCTAGGATTATAGGAGTGAGCCATCGGCACCCAGCTGGGAAAATATTTTTATGAAAACATTTAATAACAACAAAAAATATGAATGAAGGGGCTGGGAATGTGGCTTAGTGGTAGAGTACTTGCTTAGCATGCATGAAACCCTGGGTTCAATTCCTCAGAACTACATAAACAGAAAAGGCTGGCAGTGGCACTGTGAGTCAAGTGGTAGAGCACTAGCATTGAACAAAAGAAGCTCAGGGACAATGCCCAGGCCCTG